GAAAGAGGAAAAAAAAAAGTTCAAGTTGTTACATAATGCAGCTTAAATTTATTCAAAATATAAACTTATGTTTTTAAGGTCTACTGTTTTGGAATTATCAGTATTTCAAGCCTGTTTAGCAGCAAAGCTGCACTGTATCCCCTTATCCCCTCTGAATTTACTTCGTAAGTGTGGAACCCGCTGTATGTGTCACTATTGGTCATTCTGCACAGGCTATTCCTCTTACGAAAAATGTAATTTCATTCCACATAACATAATTGTTTTGCTGCTCGGTTTGCATTTTAAATTTTTTTTAATATATGTAAAAAAGCATATATAAAAAACTGTAAAATCTCTGTATCCAGAATATACACAGGTCACATGTCTGGCGACGAACTGCCAGGAACTACACACGATCAAATCTTTCCAGGAGATTTTTATTTCCAACAGGGTACATACTTGACAGACTCATGAATTTCTCAAAGTACATGTTCTTATTTTAATTATTTCAGTCAAAAGGGAGGCAAATTGCCTTTGCAGTTTAAACACAAGTCCTACTCTATTCCACCGTGCCTGAGCAGCCATGCAGAGCCACGGCGCTACAGGATAAGCCTGCTTGATCCACCACCACAGAAACTGGACCTCCTACCACACAGATTTCGGTTTTTGTCACCTTTTTTTTTTTCTTTCTTTTTTTTCTTTTCTTGCAGGGGTTGCCTTTCACAAGTAGAGTCATCACTATCCTGTGCTGACAGACCACATGAAAACTACCTACGTTTCTCTTAGGGTGAACTGTCATACATCCCCACAAAAAGTCTGCTGACAGTCTGACTCAGTTTTGGAGCTCCTATTTCAACCATGGTAAGCACTCTCTCAGTGCACCCTTCATTCAAAAAGCAGTACACTCCATGAGATTTAACAAGTGCTTCCAACCAGAATGGCACCAGAACCTTGTCTGTTCCATTACAGCTCCCAAAATGCTGCTACCAGAACAGTCTTAGCCTGCATGCTAGAGTCATGCAAGTTCCCTTCTACCAGGTGAAAAATAGAGAAGATAGGATACTTCCTTTTCCGAAGTACCTCAGAAAAACAGTATTATTCACAGTCTTTCTGGGATAAAGGTGTAAAAGAGAAGTTAGAGCATTCATTCTGTTCCTTTTTTCTCCAAGCAGCATCCTGCCTCAGCACGTCTGCTTGTTTCTGAAGATGTGAGTAGGAGGTTAGAGCTGGTAGATGCTTCTATCCTAACTCTTCTAGCTGCCTCATGACTCCTCTGCTACTTACCAATGGATTTCTAAACAAAGGAAGGAACAAGTGGGAATTTGGAGCAAATTACTTCATGACCTTCTTTTGTATTTCATCACCTCCTAGACAGCCTTTTCACACCCAGCTACTCAGTGATCTAACTACAAACGATGACTTTTCATAGGCTTTCTAGCTCTGAGTTGTAAGAGCAGATTCAGGTCATAAGTTACTTTCTTTCACAAAAGCAAGGGCTGGAAATTACTCCTTCAATGCACAATTACATTCTCAAGTAGACACAAGAACTAAGGGCCTGTAGTTTTTGGAAAAAAATAAACAAACTATCCCAAGACTTCAAAGTTACGACTCATGGCACTGTCTTCACAAGAGATATGGTTTAAAACTTCTGTTAGATAGATAAAACTTCTGTGATATGGTTTTAAAACTTCTGTTAAGCTGCTGCCTCCTCCCCAGCTGAGCTCTGTCACTTCAGCCAACACTACTCCTCTGCCAGATTTCTTTCACAGAGGCATTCAGTCCTCAATCAGAACACGCTGCCGTACCCTCACTGAAAGATTCAACTTGCAGCAGCTCCAGCTGGATTCGGGGCAGGAAAGGAGCAGGAAGATGAGTAGAAAAGGTTTATTTCCTAAACAAAGAAAATCATGTTCCGTATTATTAGATAGGCACCCATTTCACATCTGTTTTTCAGGCAGTCATTTGAGAACTGTTTTTCCCTCCTGTCAGCAGCTATTTTCCTTGTCCACATTGTTCCTCACCTCAGATGAGAGAGGGAATGCAGGAACCAGGAGCCATGGGACACACAGGACTGGGAACCATCCCCTAGACACCTTTTTTTGCACCTTCTTCATGCATTCAGAGAACAGAGCTGGGCAAGCCTCTCGGATACCTATCCTCCTCCCACTCAGCAAGCGAGAGGCAAATATGGTACGGCTAAGGGTTTCTGAGGGCCTCGCAGCTCCCAGCAGCAGTGTCCTCTTTATTCTCATTTCGCATACCCAACTCCAACTCTCAACTGCTAGGAGTTTTCAAGGCTTCTCTCTCATTAAACAGTGGGCTCCTCCACTCCTCATCTGGTGCCTTTCGTAGCTGGACCAGAGAGCAGACCTGTCAGAAAGGGCAAACTAACTCTGCTCCTTCTCTTCAGCAGCAAGAAAGGGAGATGAAATATTTTTCACGTTCACACATGATAAGACATCACAGGTAGATACATTTCACAGAGAAGGGAAGCAGTATGTCAAGAAAAATGACTGCACTGAGATATGGCTGTCTTTATTTCCCTGAATGCTCCCCATTTCAAAAAATAGCTGAAAAAGGGCAGAAGTGAAAAGGAGGCCACTACAGCAGCTGAACTGAGGTTCAGTCTGGAGAAGAGAAGGCTCCAGGGAGACCTTATAGTGGCCTTCCAGTACTTAAAGGGGGGCAATAAGAAAGATGGGCACAAACTTTTAAGTAGCACTTGTTGCAATAGAACAAGTGCTAATGGTTTTAAATCAAAATAAGGTAGATTTAGACCAGTTATAAGGAAAAAAACTTTTACAATGAGGGTGGAGAGACACCGGACCAGGCTGCCCAGACAGGTGGTAGAAGCCCCATCCCTGGAAATGTTGAAGGCCAGGTTTAACCAGGCTCTGAGCAACCCGACCTAGTGGAAGATGTCCCTGCTCACTGCAGGGGGTTGGACTAGATGATCTTTAAAGGTCCCTTCCATCTCAAAACATTCTATGATTCTATGATGCTCTGATTAAGCACAGTAAGGTAGTTTTCCAGCTTTAACAGATGCATTAACTGCACCCTGGCAAGATCTTCAGGTCTTCTGCTGGTGTCAGAAAGCAATGCTAAAGCAGATTTTGCTGCATTTTGTGTAATGACTATAGCTAGTAATGACTGAAAAGTAAAACACACAGATCGCAGGACTGAAAACTTGCTCTGACCTAGAGATTTTCCTAAATACTTTTCAAGATTCCTTTTCAAGCAAATATATATCTCGTAAAAACTGTAGAATTAGGTCATCACGTGTCATTCTCTCCTGCAGACAAAGCTCTCTATGCGAATATCATCAGAAGGTCTACAGTGTTTATCATTCTCTCCTGCCGTTCGAACTACAGCTCAGATGGATTCAAAGACTTAACTTGGCTCAACTCAAATTGTTTTGCTCACAGAAACATTTTGCATGTGAAATATTTAAGTTTTTGATTCAGCCCTAACCTTGCACATCAATCCAGCTAAAAAGCAACAACGTGTGATCTGAATAGAATCACAGAATGTTAGGAGTTGGAAGGGACCTTTACAATAGCATCTTGGCACTGGGTACTCTTCAGTACATAGCTGTGAAAGTATTATGTTTAAAAACTTTATAAGTATTTTGAAAATTTAAAAATGAATTTAATTTTCCATACAATTGATCTATAAGAATTATTTATTTAGCTCTATGCCATTTAAAGGTTTTTCATGTGAAGAAGTGTTTCACAGTAAAATCCTGAAGTAAAATTCTTTGCAGATTAAGACAAATATAGCAAAGAGAACAGAAGTATGAGGGTATATCAAATATGGCAGAAACGACATATTCTGTTCAATGACATGTAGACATTTTTAGAACATTCATTTCTTCCAATCAAGGCAAATTAAGATATCTTCTTCCTTCCCAACTTTTTCAAATGCAGGCCCAGATGACTGGGCAAAAATAACAAGATTCCAGTCATGGATTCCGTATTTTAAACTAAAAGACGTAGTAGTTGCAGTTGCAAAGAATACCTTTAACTACTGCTACCAAAAGCAATTACAAAAAACTCAGTATTTTTTCTGGTTCGTCACACACTTGAAAGTACATTGTATGCAAACCTGTGCAGTCAGTCTGTTTGTAGGCTTCCTTCTTGCCAGAAAGTGACAAATAAAATCTTAATAGAAAGATGGTATTTACAGTTCATAGCAACATTTTTTCTCAGACACCTCAAAAGATATACACTGTATTAAATATTGGCTTTTTTCTTCTTAATAAACTGCATGCAATTAAAAAAAAATAAATTTTTTAATTTATTGATGAAAGACCACCTATACTTAGTCAAATAATGTGTCTCAGCTGATATTCCAAAAATCATATCCACCTCTTTCCCAGATACTGACTGGAGAACCTTCTTTTAAATTCTCACACCATCATTATCTAATATTTATAAAGCCAGTTTCACTTAGAATGATCTGATTCATATCTGCACTTCATTACCTCACTACTGAAACAGTGTCCTCGGAGGAGAACCAGGACAATTATCTCACAGCAAACTACAGAACTGCGTCGCAGGTCAGAAAGGCACATACATACTGTCTAACTGAAATGACAATAAATCTCAGCTTGAGATAGGAGGGAGAGTCTGTGGCTCTCTTGTGATCTGTCCTCTGTAAGTGTAATTGTTTCTTTATAAAACTGGGGAGACAAAATACACTTGTTTTTTTACTCAGCTAGCTCTTCAGGGCGTGGGCAACAGGGTTCCCGCTCCTCAATTACAGCTGAGGCACTGTGTTGGATCTGGCTGTTCTTCCTCTCCAGAACTAGTTTTTGGGGATGGTAGTAGATAAGAGGGATACCAGATGTTCACATAGCTCATTCTTCTTACTCGTACCCAGATCTACCTAATGGCTGGAAATAACTTCCTCCACAGCAAGCCAGTTTCTAAATGAACGGCAGTGGTTCCCAAGAACATGGTTATGGCAGCAGATCGCAGGTTTC